ACCATGCCTGGCTTATTGACTGATTTTGATAATGAACTTTTTATCTTTCTGAAAAGTAGGTCCCATAAGTTATAAGTTGATGAAATAAAGATTAAGACTGATTCTTATCAAAATTTCCAATTGTATTAGGGAGAGGACAATTTTAGAGACAAGTAGTAAGACTATTATGATTATTATTATTATTATTATTATTATTTTTTTTTTGTGTGTGTGTGTGTGTGTGTGTTAATAGCCATTCAGTTCTTTTCTTACTTCTGGTACAACTGTCAGAGAAAGCTGTATTTCAAGTATTTTTGTTTTTCATCTGTTGCTGAGAAGCTCAGAGTGAAATTTAATTTAACATTATGTTAGGCAGGGTAATCCTGGAAACTTTTATTTTATTTCCACATTTCTAGTCTCACTGTATATGTTTCAGTGCTTCAAAAGTATAAACTAAATATCAGTTAGTCCTATTTTGAAGAGAAAGTTTTGGAAATTTGAACTCACACCCAAGTAAATTTTCTGAATTCAGTTCATCTCAGAAGGAAAGAAGCTGGTTTATGGCACCTCCTAGTGTTATATACCTGTGCTAACTGGACACATTATCTTGGTTTAGGGATGCCACCGGGAAAGAAGTGTATCGTCTTGCTCTTCAAACCAGGGAGCAACATATCCGGAGAGACAAAGCTACCAGCAACATCTGCACAGCTCAGGTAAATCACATATCTGACCTGCCTGCTAATCTGCAGAAGTGAGCTATCTTACAATCTACGTGAGTGAGCTACTCGTTCATTCACTCCTTTGTTTACTCATTCACTGCCTGCTGAACAGTGTGCACACTAGAAGGGCAAGATCTTAATAAGAAGTCTTGTGGTCTTGTCAGAACCAAAATGGAGTGTCTTTTATTGATGTTCTGTGTATACATGCATTGCCTATGTATTCACTACATAAATGTTTTAATAAAAAACAAAGAACATTGTTCATTTTTATTTTACCTAAAAATCACATCTTCAGATCTTGAACAGGCTAAGACCAAGGGACAAAGGGGCTACTCTTCACTTTTTGTTTACATGTATTTTAAGAGTGTTTATAACAGATGTGGATCAGGGTCTGTACCTTTCTTGACCATGGGGCAGGTTCATTCTGGGTGGAGACTGGGACACTCTATTTAGGACTGGAATGGACATGCTTCGGGAATGAGGTCTGCAAGGCAGAGGTGCTGGAGGGGATGGTCCACACTGGCCAATTGGTGTTGGCTATGGGGCACTTTCAGAGCTCATGAAAAGCATTCCTGAAAAGGATGGGATTAAGGGATACACTTCCTATGCTTTTGACCGTCCTCAAAGTTGCTCCAAGGCTTAGGTAAGAGGGCTTTGAAATCAAACCACCTCATAGGACAAGGTAGAAGACCCCTTCTGAGCATAGTATCCATGCTAGGTGCATGTTTTCCATTAGGGGTTGGGGACAGTGAAAAATCTCACAGACACCTCAGTGGGAGGTATGGCATTTTTCTTTCAGAGGGTGTTGGCTCCAAGAATTGCTGGGAGGTTTTAGAACACGTTTCCAGAGAGGCAGTGGATAATAAGGTCTTTCTGTAGTTGGTTCTACAGCCACTGGTCTTGATAATTTTCATCTGCATTACTTTTTGCCTCAGGAAGGTGGCTGCCCTTTTTCAGGTGAAAGATCTTCTGATTATCCAGTGGCACAGGAAGGAACCAGTTGTTAAAGGCTTTGCTTGCATTGAACAATAAGTTGGTCTTTATATGATGCCTTTCCTTTCTGTAATTTCTGTTCTTTTTTTTTTTTTTTTTTAAATTCTCTGCTTCTGTATCTTCTCTTCCTTGGGAGCTGTCTGCTCCTGTCTTGCCCTTTATGCCCATGTCCTTCCAGAAGTTGTGTCTGGTCCTAAGTCCATTCAGGGAGTCAGTTTTCTGCTTCCAGTGTTAAAATTCATTTTCCAGGGGAACTTGGGCTACCTTCAAGGAAGAAAAGTTTCTGCTTCCTAAACTATTTCAATTCACATATAACTCAGATTTCATCACTTACCTGGGGCTGTAAACCCTCTTTTTTTTTTTTTTTTTTGGTACCAGTGATTAAACCTAGGAGTGCTTAACCACTGAGCCACATCCATAGCACTTTTTGAGACAGGGTTCACCAAGCTGCTTAAGGCTTCACTAAATTTTGAGGCTGGCTTTGAACTTTTGATCCTCTCGCCACAGTCTCCTGAATCTCTGAGATTACAGGTGTGCACCACCATGCTGGTGGCTAGCTTTTTTTTTTTTTTAATATTTATTTTTTAGTTGAGTTGGATACAATACCTTTATTTTATTTATTTTAATGTGGTGCTGAGGATCGAGCCCAGGGCCTCACACTTGCTAGGCAAGTGCTCTACCTCTGAGCCACAATTCTAGCCCAGTTGGTGGCTATTTTTTCAAGAAAGCAATTATTAAAATTATGTTTGCCAGGGCTGGGAATACAGCTCAGTTGGTAGAGTGCTTGCTTCACATACCCAAGGCCCTGAGTTCAATCCCGAGCACCACCAAAAAAAAAAAAAAAATTATGTTTGCCCTTGGAATTGCCAAACTGTTTCATCTGGCTTTTGTCTTTTCATTTTGGTAGTCTTCTAATTTTTCCATCATCTATTTCATGTGTTCCTTTTCATAACTGTTGCATAAAGCAGTTATTCATATAACTATTGTTCTATTTGTGAGGATAAAAATTTCCCTTCTTTGTTAGGAGATGACTGATATATTTTGAGTTGTTCCTTTTGTGCTGTTAGTCGCTGTCCTTCTGCTGCTCGTAGCAACTCTTTCATATTCTCAATCCTGCATTTTTCCTCTTGGCATTATGGGGTTCAAATGGGGTCTTATTTTTGAATCACTCATGGGGCATGACTATTTTTTTTAAATCTCTGGAAGTCTGTTATTGGATTATTTTAAAAATCTTTCTATAAACTTACGACATTACAGATGTTGGAATTCTCATCATGGTCTCATATTTTTCACTTTCAGCCAAAAATTGCTTGTTTATTAGCTTTTCCAAAGTCGGGTGCATTGAGAAACAATTTATATTTCATTAGCTTTTTTTTTTATTGAGCTACAACTCACCACAGAATTCACCAATTTAAGTATATTCACAAGGTTGTGCAACCATCATGAGTATTAAATTTCAGATCATTTTCATCACTCCAAAAAGAGACCTTTTCCCATTAAGCAATCATTCCCCTTACCTCTCCTTTCACAGAGCCTGCCAACCACTACTCTGCTTTCTATCTTTGCAGATTTGCTTACTCTGGATGCTTCATGTAAATGAGATTGTATAACATATGGGCTTTTGCACATGGCTTCTTTAAATGTGCATGTTTTCAAGGCTCATCCATATTGTAACATGAATTGTTTTATTTTTATGGCTGAATGATAGCTTCCTGTGTGGATATACTACATTTTGTCTATCTACTAATCACTTGATGAATATTTGCATTGTTTCCAACTTTGGACATTATAAATAATGTTTCTGTGAATATTTTTTGTGCAAGTTTTTGTGCAAACATGTTTTCAGTTCTTTTGGATAGATACCCAGGAGTGGAATTACTGGGTCATATGAAAATTCTACATTTGACTTTTTGAGGAACTTCAGACTATTTATCAAAGTGGTTGCTCTCTTTTACATCCCTACTAGAAGATGAAGTTTCAAATTTTTCTACTTTTTCCCCCAAACTTGTTACTGCCTGTGTCTTTTGGGTCTAGCTGTCCTAATGGGCATGAAGTGGTATCTCATTGTGCTTTTTTGTTTTTAATATTTATTTTTTAGGTGTAAATGGACACAACATAATACCTTTATTTTTATGTGGTGCTGAGGATCAAACCAGGGTCGCCCGTGCTAGGTGAGCGCTCCACCACTGAGCCACAATCCCAGCCTCTCATTGTGCTTTTTTTTTTTTTAAATATTTTTTTTTTATTTGTAGATGGACACAATACCTTTTATTTATTTATTTATCTATTTATTTATTTATTTTATGTGGTGCTGAGGATCTAACCCAGTGCCCTACACATGTCTGACAAGTGTGCTTCCCCAGCCCTCACTGTGCTTTTGATTTGCATTTCTGTAGTAACTCATGATTTTGAATATTTTTTCATGATTATTTGTTGCCTTTAATTAAATACCTTGATTTTTTAAGTTTTTTTTCAGTATTTTTAAGTTTCTCTGATATATCAAAGAAATTTGAAATTTTTTTGGTCTCTTTGTTTCTCTGATCTTATTTTGATATTCTGATGCTTTTTCATACTGAGTACTGAAAAAAAATTTTATGCTTTTCAAAAGTCTTATTTTTTTTAGTACCAGGGAATGAATTCAGGGGCACTCAACCCTCTAAGCCACATCCCCAGCCCTATTTTGCATTTTATTTAGAGACAAGATCTCACTGAATTGCTTAGCACCTTGCTTTTGCTAAGGCTGCCTTTGATCATCCTGCCTCAACCTACTGAGCTGCTGGGATTGCAGGCATGCACCACAGATCGGTTTTCACTTTTTTTTTTCATTTTTTTTAGTTGTACATGGACACAATACCTTTGTTTTATTTATTTATTTTTATATGTTGCTGAGGATCGAACCCAGGGCCTCGCATGTGCAGGGTGAGCGCTCTACCACTGAACCACAACCCCAGCCCCAGGGTTTTCATTTTTTAATGTAAAAAAAAAAATTAATTTATTAGGTTTAGTTTTATTTATTTATTGATCTATTTATTTATTTTGCATCAGTGGGGGCTAAACCCAGGACTTCACAAATGCTAGGCAAGTGCTATACCACTGGCTTTTACCCTTTTCAAAGATTTTTAGAAGTGATTTTATACTTCCTATTAATTTGTTGTACACTCATATAGTTGTCCATCATATAGTCTCCTGGTTATGGAAAGACTCATTTCTAAACTAAAAAGGGACATGAACCAGCCTCCAGAAGGCTGTAGTGAAGGAGGCTTCCAGGATGTTCTGTGAATATCAGGCCTGGTTTCTGTTCCCTGGCGGCACGGCCGCGGGCATTTGAGCACACTGTGCCATGGATTCTCTACTTCATGCTAACCTCTCCACAGCGGCAATGTGCTGTGATCATTCTGTATTTATCTCTGATTAGTGTATGGAGTCTATAAGCATGTCAGTGCTTTCCTGGGACTTCTAGTCCAGGAAAGTTTATTTCTTTTTTCTCTGATGTTGTCTTTTCCTCCTCATTTTCTTCATTGATTGCTAACTTCCTTTATGACATCATTTCCAAAATGTTTCTTGTTTTGCAATGGCCCCATAGAGATATTTCTTCTAGCAGAGAAAAGGTGTACCTAGCAAAAATAGATCCCACATTGAACATTATTCAACTTTAAAGTGTTTACTGTATTTCTCAGTTGAGTACGGTCTCTGTTTTGTGAAATGCTCCTTCCTATCCTGGAGAGATTGCCATGAAGGTAGGTAGACCTTGAACTGCTTACCTAGTACATTAGGGATCACTCTAATGAGAGAGGAGGGACCGTGGGAGAGTAGAGTGGGCTGGGCAGGTAGCCAATGAGAGACTTGAATTTGGACCAGTTACCAGGGATGACAGTGAATGGTTGGAATGCTGCTCTTTGGTAGGTTCTAGGGTGAAAAAGCAAGTGAGGAATGAGACCAAGAGGAGAAGTAGGATGTGGGCATCCATCATTTTCTCTTGAGACACCATTCATTTTGGCTTCTGACCCTAGCGGCTTTCTTTTTCTCTCTCCCCTACTCCAGATGCTATCACAGTGGGTCATCTATTGTTCCTCATTCAGGACCCCCTCACACAGGGGTCCCTTATCTCAGTGAGGTTCCAATGCTCTTTCTTTCTTATTTCTGTAACAAGCAACTCACACTTTCCTGTAAATATTTTTGTGAAACCTCAATCCAATGGTTAAGCGAGAGATTACTTGAGAAAATGACCTTGTTTTCATTGGGTCATCCAGTCTATCTCCTACCAGCTCATTTTGGCTTTATTTCTTTTCTTCCCACATTTTTAGTTTTGGTAGTCTATGGTCACAGATTCTCCATTCATTTCTTTTATGGGAGGGAGTGTTGGGGATCAAATGCAGAACTTTTAATAACATTACAAGCTTTCACTTTGCTATTAGCTACACCACAGCTCTGCTCATCTATTCATTGGGGGAAATTCGGTTTTTAGTGTTCTATTTAAGATCTCAGGAGAATTGTATTTCCTGAGCTATCTATCTATCTATCTATCTATCTATCTATCTATCTATCTATCTATCCATCCATCCATCCATCTACCTATTTATCTATTTTTAAACCAGAGATTGAACCCAAGGGCATTCAACCACTGAATCACATCCCTAGCTCTATTTATTTATTTATTTATTTATTTATTTTTATTTAGAGACAGGATCTCACTAAGTTACTTAGGACCTTGCTAAGTTGTTGAAGCTGGCTTTGAACCTGTGATCCTTCTGCTATGGGATTATAGGCATGCTCTATCACACCTGGCATCTCTGAGAAAATTTTTGAGTATTTAGAAATTGTTTGCTGCTATTTTTCTTTGTTTTTTTCTTTCATTCTTGAAGAACTATTTGAGTATAAAATTCTCAGATCTAATTTTTTTCCTCTGAAAGTTTTCTTGCTCCACTGTCTTCCAACATCAAATATTGCTTTATTTTTTATTTATTTATTTTTTTAAATATTGCTTTTTGATGCTGGATAGGAGCCTGCTTGTCCCCCTCATGGGTGTCATGGTTATGTTGCATTAATGAGATCCCTCTATAATAATTAAGTCTGAAGGTTTAATATAGTGACTTCAGAGTGATTTGGATGTTGTCTTTACCCTCAGGTAATCAGGCAGTTCACAACGATCCCCAACTATCATTAAAAAATGCAGGAAATACGATTATTTAGTGTTGTTTCTGTTTTCAGTTTTGGCATCACAAGTTGTATAATTTCCCCCTCCCAATAATCACGTTCTGTGACATTGTTGCACATGATTCCTTAAATGTTTTTTATTCTTTTAGGCCCTCTTGGCAAATATGGCTGCCATGTTTGCAATCTACCATGGTTCCCAAGGGCTGAAGCATATTGCTAGGAGGGTACATAATGCCACTTTGATTTTGTCTGAAGGTAAGTCAGTTATCTGTTTCAAAATTTTGAGGCATAATAAGACTGATAAATCTGAGTAAGAAAAATGGAAAATTTGGGGCATGTCCTATACCAAATGCAAAATTAAAAGTCAAATGAGAAACCAGAAAAAATATTTTCAACATCTATGATAGACTGAGTATGAATAGTTTTAATATATACTGTGCTCTTTCTATACCCCTAAACACAGAAAAAAATGAACATTCTGATGGAAAAATGAGCAAAGGACACGAAATGTAATTTAGAAAGAAATATGCAAGTAAATGGCCAATGAATATACAAAATCTCAACCTCACTATTAATCAAGAAAATACAAGTAGTATTTATCTATCACTTTGGCAAAGACTAAGAAGAATGCTGAGAGGGACAGTCTACATGCCTATACTCCCAGTGACTTGGGAGGCTTAGGCAAGAAGATTGCAAGTTTGAGGCCAGCCTCTGCAATTTAGCAAGATCTTGTCTCAAAGTAAAAAAGGGATGGGGATGTAGCTCAGTGGTAGACTGCCTCTAGGTTCAGTTCCCAGTACCACAATAAATAAGAAATGCTGATAACATTTGGGTATGATGACACTTTACATATCAAATGCTTTAAAAATGTCCCTATAATTTTATCTAGAAATTAAATTTCTAGGGATATATCTAAAATTCATAATAAAATAAGTATGTAAAGCATGCCCATTGAAACATTTTTTACTTTTACATTCAGTCTTTCATAGAGAGTTTTCAACATTATTATTTTTTGAACTATTTAAATTATTTTCCTTTATCCTTGTCACAGGGAGTTAACACTGATGGACTTTAGACACATTTTCCTTTTTTTCTTTTTACTCTTTTCCTTTAACCAGAAGCTTGGAAGAACACAAGGGGGGAAAAATAAAGATCTGTTATACATGATAAAGTTTAATAATGCAACTAAATTATGGTATATCTATGTTTGACCTTACACAGCTATTGAAAATAATGATGGATATCAATCTATAGAAAAACAGATACTCATATTTTAGCTCTAAAAAAGTGTAACAAAATATATATACCTCATCTCCCTCCCCCACCCCCGCCATCACCATTTCTGGAGGAATACACAACAAAATGTAAGCAGTACTGATTTCTTGTTGGTGATAACGATGATCTTTCTTCTTTTTTAGTATTTATTTCATAATTTTCTATTGCATTAGTAATAAAGGTATTTATTTTTAAAGCAGCCCCAAAACATTGGCCAGGATCAGGAGTAGTCTATAGTAGAAGTTCTCTATTTCTCTGTGGGATATAAATGGCTGAGGAGCATGTTTTTGTGTCAGTAACTGGTGGCTCCCTGTCTTATCCAGGTCTCAGGCGAGCAGGGCATAAACTCCAGCATGACCTGTTCTTTGACACCTTGAAGGTTCAGTGTGGCTGCTCAGTGAAAGAGGTCTTGAGCAGGGCTGCCCAGCGGCAAATCAATTTTCGGCTCTTTGAGGATGGCACAGTAAGTCAACTTTTCTGTATTTTTACCAATTCTTTAATTTTTCATGACTTTTCTCATTAAAAGTTTTCCTTTTCTATTTAAAAATCTGTTGGGACTTTGGGCACAGCCCGTTTTTGTAAATACCAGTTTAGAACATTGGGACCTTTTCAAATAGTTTGTTTACAGCTTTCCTGCGTCTTTGTGTTTTCATACACACTGTTCAAGGACAAGTCTCTATTAAATGATTGATATAAATAAAGTAAGTTAAGTGGAGAAAAAGGCAACCATATTTAGTTCTAATAGGAGTGCCTTTGAACTCAATAGCCATTGGACTATTGAATCCACAAGTGGCTTGCAGAACTCTAAATCTTGTGAAGTCTCAGCCTGGTCCAGTTGCCATCCCTTAAGGGTCAACTTGGATTGACTGGTATATTGATATTTTGGATTGACCAGAAATTTTGTCCACCACCTTCTCCCCTTTGATCTCTCCTCTGGGTTCCTCCACTGATCTTGGAGTTCAGAGTTGATGTTTTTCATTTTGTTTTTGTTTCTGTAGCTTGGTATTTCTCTTGATGAAACAGTCAATGAAAAAGATCTCGATGATTTGTTATGGATCTTTGGCTGTGAGTCATCTGCAGTAAGTAAAGTAAAATCATGCATTCCTCGTAATGACTCTTGGGGGGTGTTAAAGAGTGTGAGGGAGAGAGTGCCCAGGTATGACATTGGGCAGCCTGCTGTTAAAATTACACCACTGACTGTCCCTTGTTCCTGTGACTGCTTTCAGCTAAAGGCCATTGCTGTAGGGCTCCAGTCAGGACCATGCAGCCAGGCTAGTTGGAAGTATTATTAATGATGTTTAATTCAAACTATTCCTAATGCAAAGATTCATGACATTAGCATCTTGGTTTATGTCAATTCTGGGGAAAAGTTATGATACTCATTTATTTATAAATAATTGTTGAGGACCTAATATGTGCCAGGTATTATGCTAGGCCTTGAGGATACAGTGGGGAATTGTGCACGGTCCCTGCCCTTACTGAGCATAGTTCAGAGAGGATCCAGACACGCAAGCACAGCATTACAGTCCCGGTGATATGCTAGGTGATGTGTGAAGGTGCTCTGGGAGCACAGAGGGTGTGCTCCTCACCAAGGCTTGCATTGATTTGGTCTAAGCTACGATCTCAAAGATAAGTAGGAGTTACCCCACATGGCACAATGGAGAAGGAAGGTGGGTTTAGAGGTATTGCAAACACTGGGGGGAAACAGCCACAAAGACTAAGAGGATCAAGAAATGTAATCACTTCAGCATGACTGAGTTGGTTTCTAAAATAATGAAGTAGCAAGGAAAAGCCAGGAGCAGGGTTCTGGTTCCGTGGGAGGAGAGTAGTCAGCAGCTACCTAGACACTGCACTGCTTGGTTCATAGTAATCACTCAGTGACTATTTGTTGAATAAGTTAATGAAAGAAAGTCATACTGCAGAAGTAGAAATACCCCCAGAGTGCTGAATGTTGCCATCTTGGTTGCCTGTGTGTGCTCTCTTTGGAAGAGGACTGCAGCACCCAGATACTAATCGTAAATTACCAAAGCAGCTTCACAATATGCTCTTTTGAACTTCATTTATTAATTAAACAGGACTGAGTAAGCTTCCCCCCTGGTACACTGTGCAAAATTTAATCACATTTATTTGGTCTATCCATTTGAAGAATATTTCTGGAGCCACTCATATAGGGTTCAAGATGGCCATATTCTGAGCCTGGGGAAAAAATGAAGAGCAAACCATGTATTTAGTTACATGTTCTGGATATTAAACTCCTGTCAGATACACAATTCGCAAATATTTTCTCCTACTTGGTGGGTTCTCTTGTCATTCTTGATAGTATCCTTTGATGGACAAATGTTTTTAATTAATTATCTTTGTGATGCTAGGGACAGAACCCAGGGCCAACTGAGCTACACTCCTAGCCCAAATGATTTTTATTTTACTGCAATCACAGTTTATCTACTTTTTTTCTTTTGTTGTTCTTGCCTTTGGTGTCATATGTAAGAAACCACCACTACACCCAAGGTTATGTAGATTTGCTCCTATATTTTTTTCTAAGAGTTTAATAGTTTTGGCTTTTAAAGGTATGTGGTTGATCATTTTGCATGTTTTGTGGCCTAGCCATCTGAAAGCCTGGATGTCCACTGTGGTTCCAGGCACAGTTCTGGCCCTCTAGTTTCTGTTGTCTCTTTGTGCAGGAACTGGTGGCTGAAAGCATGGGAGAGGAATGGAGAGGTATTCCAGGATCTGCATTCAAGAGAACTAGCCCATTCCTCACACATCAAGTGTTCAACAGGTTTGTGTGGCTTGTGTGACATCTGCGTCTTGTGTCATGGCAATAAGCTAGGGAGCTGCTTCTATGCTGATTGTGATAGGGTCTGGGTCATTGTGGCTCAGCCACACTTACTGAAAATCATTACCCTAATGATTTCATTCCTGATTTGGGCCAAGCGTGCCTTGTTTACCTGGTGGACTCACTCTGCTGGCACTGTTGGGGGAGAGGGACGTTTGGAGGTGCAATTGCCAGGCTGAAGTTTTTACCTAGGAACCCTATCTTTTTCCCAACTTCCTTTCTTTATGCGCACAGGCAGCTTCTTGAATCAGGCATTCTCTGTGGTCAGGGTTTCTGTACCCATCCTTCTAATGTAGAGTTGACATGTTGCCGTGGCCAAAACTTCTTTATATTTTGAAGGTAGATGTCAGTGTGTCTCAGGGGGATGTGTGTGGACTCATCTGATTTTGTTGGCCCTGACCATGTATCTTGTGTTCACAGCTATCACTCAGAAACAAATATTGTCCGGTACATGAAGAAACTAGAGAACAAAGACATTTCCCTTGTTCACAGCATGATTCCACTGGTAGTTGTTTGTGGCCTTCCTTCTTACCTCTAGTCCTGCCCTGATCTGATCCCATTTGGGTCATATCTAATACACTGCAAGACGGTTAAAGGGGCGGCCAGGTGGGGAGAGAGGAGGGTTGGTGATGGACTGTAGCAAATCACTAATGTGATAAATGTTGGATGTTCTTCTTAAAGGGATCCTGTACCATGAAGCTCAATAGCTCATCTGAACTCACAGTAAGTAGGTCACTTCTGTTAAGAGGGTATTTACTAGGTACAGTTTTCCAGTTTGTACAGAAACTGGTACCTAGAGAAATCTACCAGGGCTATGACTTTATAATCACTTCAATAATCCTTTAACTTGCTGTTCACCAATATTGGGAGAAACCATGATACTTCACACAAGTTGACCATTTAAATATATGGGCAAAAATTACCTTTTTAAAGGGGTGTTGATGGTGCTGGGGATCAAATCCAGGGCCTTATTCATGCTATATTATTATTATTATTATTATTAATGTTGCCCAGGCTTGTCTCAAATTCATGGGTTCAAGCAACCTTCTTGCCTCATCCTCTCAAGTAATTGCAACTATAGGCCTGTACTACCATGCTTTGCTATGTAAAATTATTTTTTAAAATTAAAATAATTAGATGTATTTATACCTTCATATCCTTTCTTTTTAAACTTATTTATTTATTTATTTTTGACAATACTGGCACTTGAACCTAGGGTACTCTACCACAGAGCTACCTCTTAGCCTTATTTATTTATTTAGGTACTAGGGATTTAACCCTTTACCACTGAACTACATCCCCAGACCTTCTTATTTTTTTATTTTGATACAGGGTCTCACTAAATTGCTGAGGCTCACTTCTAACTTGCAATCCTCCTTCCTAAGCCTCCTGAATCACTGGGATTACAGGCGTGCATCACCATGGCCTGGCTTTATTTATTATTTTGATACAGGGTTTTGATAAGGTACCCAAGTTGGCCTCAATCTTGGGATCTTTCTGAAGTCTCTGGGGTTATAGGCATGTTCCATTGTGTCAGTTTGATTTTTTTTTTTTTAAATTTATCATAATAAAAACTAATTTTATCTATTTGTGGTTGTTAACCTCAAGTAGAATTAAGAACCTTGAGAGCTTGTTTGGAGGTTCTAGCAGGGGAGCGCAGCTACTCGTATACCCTTGACCGAAGACCGGTCCTCCTCTATCGGGGAAGGTCGTCCTCTTCGACCGAGCGCGCAGCTTCGGGAGGGACGCACATGGAGCTGTGAGGGAGGAAGGGGACACCCGCCTAGCCAGCCAGATCAGCCGAATCAACCCTGGCGATCAATGGGGTGACAGATGTCGCAGCCAGATCGCCTTCACATCCAAGAATTAAGAACCTTAAGCCTTCTTTCTACAAATCATTGTGTTAGGAGGGTATAATTTGGCTCTGGGGTTGTAGCTCAATGATAAAGTGCTTGCCTCGCATGTGTGAGACACTGGGTTCCATCCTCAACAACACATAAAATAAATAAATAAAAGTATTATGTCTATCTACAACTTAAAAAAAACAGTTTAAATCAAAAAAAAAAAAAAAGAAGGGTATGGGAGGATGAGAATGGGAAAGACAGTAGAATGAATAAGACATAACTTTCCTCTGTTCATATATGAATATATGACCCATGTAACTCCATGTCATGTACAACCACAAGAATGGGAAGTGATACTCCATATATGTATGATATGTCAAAATGCATTCTACTGTCATGTATAACTAAAAAGAACAAAATTTTTTAAATGAAAAAAAAATATGGGAGTGGATATGAATTTGAGGCTTAAATTTTTTCCGAATGCCAACAGAGGATTTTGTAACCTGGTGTTTTGGTTGGTAAGTATCTGCAAGGCCAGGATCCTTTATAAAAGTTAATTTATACCTTTTATTTATGGGATTATTCTAATGTGACAAATTACACTAGGCAGAGAAAATAATTTTCTATTTTAAAAGGAAATATTTGTTTTTACATTTATGCATTATTCTGCTTAATGATGAGACAGAATAATACATGTGCATGTAAGAGTTTGAACAAACTCATTGTGTTTTCATGGATATAAATCTACTTGGGGGCCTTTTTATCCCTGAAAAGGTGTAAAGACTTTTTTATAGGTTCCCTTTGTGGCCTGTGTGTTGCATGTACAGTGAAGATAATGACTTAATAAGATTGTGTGAGACTAAGTGAATTAATATATTTAAGTACTTGGAACATTCTCCAGCTTAGAGGAGGCATTTTTTGGTGCTAGGTATTGTCATCATTATCCTTAAAGTTGTTATTGCAATTACAATATTCACGTGTATTTTTGGCCTCTTCTCTTGCTGTTTAGCCCATCACATGGAAAGAATTTGCAAACATCCACCCCTTTGTGCCTCTGGACCAAGCTCAAGGATACCAGCAGCTATTCCGAGAGCTTGAGAAAGATTTGTGTGAACTCACAGGTTATGATCAAGTCTCTTTCCAGCCTAACAGGTAAGAGGATTTTCCCCCCTCCCATTTGTTATCCATTGTTGTTAATACCCACCCAAAACTTCAGACTTAAAATAGCATTTTATTTGTGTCATCCTGTGAGTTGACTGGACATCTCCTATGAGTTGACTAGGGTGATATGGCCAGAAGGTAAAGCTGGCCTCATTCAAAAAGTTGGCTTTGGTTTGT